TGTGCAACTGTTGCTTTGAGCACCGATTGCCTGTGAAAAGCGATTTCCCTAACACAGATTTCAAAGTTTAATTCCATCCGGTCTCACCAAACGGTGTTTATTCAATCACAGCGTGGTGAGTGGTGGTGTTCTCCAGTATACAACGAATGGCTATCTGGAAGCAACGAGCTGCAGCCCACATGAGCATCCAAAGAAAGAAGAAGTAGCCGCACCGCTATTGATCGGAATAAGTAGCTCTTCGTGAGTTGCTGTGGGCCAACTATGTCAAGCGCGTCATACTAAAGAGTATAAACAGAGAGAACCCCGCTCAAATGCCTATTCCTACACAAAACACAAGCTCCTGCTGCAGTTAAGAAATAAGATTTATTATATAAGACCACGTAGTTCTACATCACCATTGCGTACAACCCCACAAGGCTGTCCCTTGTAGTTTTTTAATAATCCGGCAATTTTTTGATATATCTATTCATAATTCTCTGACGCTTCTGAATTCCCTGAGTTTCTCGCAACTTCTTTAATGTTTCTATGGTAGGCTGTGCGTGTCATCGAACCTAACGTTTGTTTTTTTCCGTGGATTTTTTTTATCTTTAATCCGTTACTGATCTGGCCAAAATCAGGCCCAGGAGACAATTTCTAGTTCCTCAGCCCCTATTATTTGCCGCTGAGAAGTTGTTCCAAAGAACCTCCATGAGGCGTCCCATTATTCGTCCCATGATTAATTCCATCATTCGTTGAGTCGCAGTGTTGAACCTGACTATTGGCCACGAAAAGGCTTGCCATTGCACATCAAAAATCGACTACATACATCCGAACATTTGGTTATCTCAAATCGACGGAAGACATTCCGCGCAACTACCATAAACCGGACTAGTTCGTGTTGATCTTCGTCAAGCTTCGTCTACAGATCTTTACAACCAGTGAAGTATCGGCAGTCATAGGTAATCCTTGTACCGATGGTGGGTTCTATTCACATCACAAAACATCACATCTTCGTCAAGCTTCGTCTACAATTGGGTTCTTTAATTTTGAAAAATGTATCGGTTTTTATACATCATCTGAAAGAGCTTCGTTTTCTGAGCACAGCGATATTTTTTTCGAACCCACACACTTTCATCTTGATTTTCAAATAAAGATTTAAAGCAAAATAATCGCTTCACTTGACACGAAACTAACAAACTGACAGCTCGCTCCCATGCAAAGTGACACCGAGGGGCGCAAATAAGGTGATTTTTGCAAATATAATCGTACTTATTTAAAATAGTTCCAGTAACGTTGGGTGATCACCTTTTTGTGGTGCGTTACTGGTATAAGATCTACCACCGAACCCTAGTTGTGACAACTTCAAACTAGGGAATCAGAATTTTCCAGTTATCAAAGGATTACATTTTAGTGGTTGTTACATTTTATGACTTGATAATAGTGACAAGACTCGGGTAGTGACCACTGCCGTTATGCATTTCTATATTGTATATTTCAAATCAAAACATTGTTTATGTTCATAGAGTTTACATAATCCTTTTCCCTTTGTCCTTCTCCTTTTCCTTTCCGTCTTCTCTTTTCAGAAAGCGAGTAATGGCGCTATAGCCAGAAAAGGCTAGGACCAGGCATGGAAAATCATTTACATTCATTTTGTGCATTCATTTACATTCATTTACCTCTAACTTTTTTCTTCAACAGCATTCCGCAAAATGGTGTAAAGAGCTTTTGTAGGTTTTCTTATTGGTAACAATTTTTGTTAACAAGTCAAATCCGTATCTCTTATGCATGACGAAGCAGAGCAAACAGAAGCCACTACTGTTTTTCAGTGAATGTATTTTACATTCACTGAAAAACAGTAACAAGTTCTGCCCACTCCAGTTCGTGATGCATAAGAGATACAGATTTGAGTTATGAGCAAAACTTGTAACAAACCTACAAAAGCTCTATACATCATTTTGCGGAATGCTGTTGATGAAAAAAGTTAGAGGCAAATAAATATAAATTAATGTAAGAAATGAATGCAAATGATTTTCCATGCCTGGCTAGGACAAGAGTTAGTGCTCATGCCCCAACCGTCAGAAGAAAATGGAGCATCACTTAACCTTTCAACAACCAACCAATTATATAATTACTAAAATCGGAACGTACGGTACGAGATGTCCACGTTTCATCCATTTATTGGATTCTGAAGCATCGTGTTTAAATCTTCGATTTAAACAGGTCCGATGTTTTCTGAATCATTCTTCTTCTTCTTCTTCTTATTCTTCTTCGCATTTCAAGCTTATTGCATATCGCATATAAGCTTATTGCGTGCTCTTAACTAAGTGTTCTAGATGCACTTCCACAGTTATTAATTGAGAGCTTTCGATGCCTGTACCATTTTTGCATTGATATAATTGTGTGGCAAGTCCAATCATACTTCTATGCTCAGGGAAGTCGAGAAATTTTCCAACGCGAAAAATTCCTAGACCAGACCGGGAATCGAACCCAACCGGCTCCAGCATGGTCTTGCTTTGTAGCTGCGCCTTTACCGACTGAGCTAAGGGAATCATCTTGCCCCTTAAATGCTGCACAGTAGGCCTGGCCGTTTTGATATGTGTGGTGCATCTTCGATGTGAAACATATATCAAATATACATGAAAAATTATGGAGGTACATCCATTATTTTCCAGGATGCTTTCAAGAACTGGCTGTGTTGGTGTTAGATTAGATTAGATTAGATAGGCTTCTTTAAGCTTTCTACAATTTCCTTGAAATTGCTTGAACTGCCCTTTGATTCTATAATCTGTCTTGATGTTCTCGAAGCTTCCCTATAGCTTTCAATTCGTTTGAAGATCTCGGTTCTGCTGCTCGGAAATAAATGGAATTCCCGTAAAAACCTTTAAATTTCTCTGAAATTCTCTGGACTTCTGTGAAGTTTCTGAAATATATCTGAAGTTTTCATAAATTCTCTGAAGGACTATGTACTTCCCTGAAACTCTCGAAACATCTTAAGTGTTCTCGATTTTTTTTTCAGCACATCATGGAACTATCCTGATTTTTTCTAAATTTACGATTAAAGATATTTAAACTGCTTAAACAGTCTGGACTAAAGCTACGAAAACTGCTCATATGGGCTGGAATTCCCCCCAAAATCTCTAGATCTAGCTTTTCTAAGGTAGTTAGAACTTCTTAAAAATTTGCACAATGCCCCTCATGTTTTCTATATTTCTCAAGTTCGCTTGACACCTGTGAAGTTTTCTGAAATTCTAGGAACTTCATAAAAGTTCCCGAAAATTTTCGGATGCTAAAAGAACCGCTTTGAGGTTCTTCAAGCTTCCAGTAAGTTCCCCATATTTTCAGCGTATTAACCTCCCTTATGTTGCCGCAGTTTGTTTATGGAGCTTCACTGAAATTATCAGCATTTCTTTTCATTACTCAGAACTTCGCCAAAGTTCATACGAACTTGAAATAAATCATTTATTTTTTCCTTGATTCTGGCAGTTCGAAAATTTTCAATATCTTGAACTTGTACATGGTAATACGAAACTTCAAGATATTGAATAATTTTAGATCTTGGACTTACTCAAATTGGGTAAGTTTATTTTTTTAACTTTATTCAGTGAGAAATTAAGCAAGTGATAAACTTCAACATTCAATGGATTTGATAGTTATGCTGTTTCTTTAAAACTGATTGACATGTCTTAAAAACATTTGGGTAAATTGCTGTTGTTTTTGAACCACAAAAAAAAATTTTTTAACGCATTTAAAAATTTAGTTTTTTTTTATAAACCTGGATTTTATCCGTTAAAATAATGAAAAAAACCTGGAAAAGCCAGATAATTTAATTTAGAAAAATGAATAGACAGCCTGAAGATAAAGAAAGACGATTAAACGCCCAAAGCAAAGAATGATCAATCTTGAAATAAATTCACGCTAAAAAAGTTGAAAATAGTGGACTGATTAGAAGAAAAAGTGACTTTAGTGACTTGGCCTTAAAAAAGAGACTTTTTAGTGACTGGCTTGAAAAAAGTGACTCGCTACCAGCCCTGCGATATTAAAAATCATTACATATAGTAGATATGACGTTCTTTTAGACCATAAGGACCACATTTGCCACACACGGAAATTTTTGGGCCCTCAGGCAGCCATGGGCTATTTTTTTTGAATAGAAGGCAAAATATGACAAGAAGCAAATAATAATGTTGCAAAATTTCATTCGAGAAGGCACTGGTCGGAGGATTTATCCCAGTTTTTTTGAACAGTAGGCTGATACTAAGAAGCTATTACTTCATGCTATTGTCTGCGCAGTACCACCATCATTGTTTACTTTGATAAACCGCTATTTTCTCAACTCAAATTAATCCACCTTGCTTGTAAATTTTTCGATTGAAAAGGAGGATCGTCAATCAAATATATGCCATTTAATAATTTGTTAACGCGAATAAATCTTCCGAGAATTGTAATTTACTATACATGTTTGAAAGCAAATTTCATTACAAATCCGATTCAAGGAAAAAATCTTAGTATTACAGAATAACAAGACGTGAAGCAAAACCGGGAACGCCAGTCAGCTCTACTCGGAAAGAATATGCGTATCCAGTAGAAGATAAAAATGAAATTATCATCCCTACTTCACATCCATACATTTCAAGGCGTTTTTTTTTTGTTGATTTCCGCTTTCCCAAATCGACCGTGCTGCTCTCTGACTCGTACACACATACACACTCACACACTTTTCCGTTTTGCTAGTCCTTTCCGAATTGTGTCCGTTTGCTCTATTCTGGGACGTCGTACATCACAATTCATCTTTCGGCCCCAAACCTCCGACCACCCACCACCAAAAATATATATTCACACGTCCAACCCAGCGAGTCAGACGACGAAACGGAATACGACGTCTAAGTATACAAATGCGTATTGTTAATATCTCCGTCTTCTCGTCTTAAGGAAGAGCATGCCTTCGCTCGAATATTGTCATTGCCTCAAGTGGGCAAAACACACCCACCAAAACGAAAAATAGGAAAGACTGGATCACTCACCCGTTCGCAATTCGATTTTTCCTCTTCCGATCGTCCACCTCTGCCAGCCGAAGCAGAAATGATACAAATTCCACATCATTTTTGAACAGCAACAGATTCCGCAAGGTGTCCCACTTTTCCGCATTCTTCGTGCCGATGTAGATATTCTTGCTGAAGTTTTGATGGCGATACTTCCTTATCCGATCACCTGCGGCCACAGGCGTCGCCGTCGATGCTCGAGTGGGATTGGAGGTGCTACCGTTGCTGGAGCTGCTATTGCCGTTGTTGTTCGGATTTGATGCACAGCTGGAAGAGCTATTACCATTGGCAGTAGCTGCTGGTGGGGTTGGTGCTCTGACTGATGGAAGACTCGGTCCGGGGGTTTGGTCAGTCCCGTTGGATAGCATTCGCCCATTACTTCGGTTACTGCAAATGCTATCCGTATCGCTGACGTTTCCATTTTCAACGGCTGGGAGTGACGTCCCCGCAACAGGAAGGGCGTCCGTTTCCGGTTTCTCCTCATTATCCGTATTCGGCTCGCTATTGTTGTTACTATGAATACTGGCTGGTATCTCCGATTCCGTATCACTGTCCAACACTTTTGGCATCGTATCACGCATCCCTTCCTAATTTTGTTCGATAGATTCGCACACCATTTTTTCCACGCTGGGATCGAAAAATTTTCACTTTCCAACGCCTATGAAGGCGCCCGGTTTGCCATTCTGCCAGACTGCAAGTTATCCTTTTTTCGGAGTTCCATTATTTCACTCTCACATTCACTTTCACATTGCAATCAAATAAAATGTCTAACTTTTATCACCACTGCGAGCGAGGGCCCGAGCTACAAAAAAAATCCTGGAGGCTGAATGCCAGCCCCGCGATGTCGACGGCTGCCCGATGATGATGACGATGGAGCCCACTCTTGCAATTTTTGGGAGGAAAAATCCTAACCCATGCACGGAAATCACTGTCCGCCTTAGCCTTTTTTCACTGCTGCAAACGCTCGACCACGCTCGAATTCACCTAATGCCGATTCGGGCCCGGTTGCATTCTGTTTTGGAAAACTTTTCAACCATTAAAGTCAAACTTTTCCCAGTAAAAATTGCAACTTTAAAACGGCGAAAAACTCGTCAAGATGAAACTTTTCATCTTTAATTCTATTTTTTCACTTTTCCCACCTCGAACTCTCGCTCTCAATTCCAGGAGACGAACTTCTGGACACAGGCGGGAGCCCACCACAAGCAAGATGGAGAGAGGGAGAGCAGCATTTTCCTCTCTCGCAGGGTGTATGTGTGCAGTCAAAACTCCCTACTGTTTGTATAGCATTCGTCCTTTCGGTTCGGGTCGAACACATCCTTGATCTCTCGCGCCGTGTATTTTCATCATAAATATTCTCCGGAAAGTCGTCAACCATTTTCACGCATGCATTCGGTTGGCCAGCCAGCCAGCCAGAAGGGCTGACTCGATACGGCAACCTTTACCCACCCCCTTGCTTTGCCTGTCGTGCGCGGTTCGTCCTTTTCACGAACTGCTGCGTGCGGGTGTTGTAGTGAGCGTTCGATTGTCAAACATAACTTCACACTGTCTGCGAGTGAGACCACGTTCGGTGAGCGAGTGGGTGGAGGACGATGTGCGGGAATATATCAATAGGGGGTTTATGAATCTTCAAGCGAATCGAGGGAATAGACACACTCGATTCGATAGGACATGTATATTAGGGTGGTTCAAAATATAGATTTCGTTCCACCCTACTCAATCGATTACAAACCAAAAAATAAATTTTTCGTAGTCATGCCAGCGGTACACAGAACAACATAACATAACATAACATGATGTCGATTTCCAAATTTGTGAAAAATACTGAAAGTTTTTAGCATTTATTTAAAATATATTTATCTTCATCTACAACATACGGCAAAAAACAGAACATATCAACGTGTGTGACGCTTCATCTCCCGCCGCAAACATCTTTTGAATGCTCCCGCTCCCACTGGATGGTAACCACATCGGAATCTTGACTTATTTTTCATCATGACAAAAAAGTCACTGTACGAAACCAATCCATCGCAGTCTTCGTCGAACAACGCAAATACCACATCGATAATGTGACCATCAAGCTTCGAGCCGGAACAGATCCTTACGGCTTGTGCAAATTCATCCTTCGAGATTGTCTTTTTGACCGAATAGAAAAATCGCATGGCCACAGAGAAATCGTCCAGGTTGTGAAGCACCTGACAAAAGCCCTCAAATTGCTCGTACGTTACAGGATGCCGTTCTTCCAGATTTTCGATGCGCTTCAGATATTCGCCGTACTGATGTGGTTTCAAGTGCGTGTAGTTTAAAAGGATGAAGGCAAACTCTTCATCGGAAATATAATCTCTACCCTTTGCATACCGCTCAAACTCAATTTGCAATACTTCTTGCTGCAAATGTTTCATAAATTGATAAAAATGTGCATAACTCAAAGCATCCGCCCCATTTGCGCCGAAAAAATGAATCTGCAGTGTGGTCATGGCATCAACTTGGTTCTTGTTAACATCATTGTAGTCCTTCAGTTTTGACTGATCATTCTTGGGCATCAATCGAATCAGCGTTTTCCTCGTATCGTCATCCGTCTTCCTTTCTTTCAATGAGCGACCCAAGATTTGACGAATTACGATAAATTCGTCGTGCTCAATTTGCTGATTGCCATCCGTGTCGAACATTTCGAAAGCGATGCGAAAACCTCCTTCCGGTCTGGTCAGCACCGACAGTAGAAACAAATAGTCGGCGAAGGAAATAATTCCCGAATTCGACAGCTTTCGAAACATCATACATGTGTTGTGCTGCACAGAAGGAACCCTGGCATGAAAGTGGGAAATTTCGTCGTTGGTTAGGATCTTCCTTCTAAGACAAGGTTTGGGTTCGCGCTCCAGAACGGATTCCAGAAAATCTCTCGGTGTCATGTAGATCTGTCCAGCGTACTCCGCGGAAGCAAATTCGACAAACCGCCGCTCCCGTTTCGTCAGTTTGGCAAGTTTTTCTTCGGCAGAGTTGAGCACAGTCGCTCGATACGCATCGTATGGATTTCGTGCTTTCAGGTAACTGATGCACACAAGAAAGCCTCCACTTACGGCACAAAGAAGTTTGAAGGATGGTGTGGTCATCGCGAAATGTCTGACAACTGACTGAGAGAGAGAGAGAAAAGAACCAGTAGGCTTATCTTCCAATTCACGCAGAAACCGGCCACTTTTTTCGAGGTTCTAAAAATCCGTTAATTGTCCGTACTTATTCGATAGCTCTAGTTATGTACACTGAAAAATCATTCTGCAGAATGTTGAATCGATGAACCCCCCCTCGTTAACTAATGGCTCGAACGTTTAAAAAAACATCACTCTTTTGCTAATTTTTGGATGATTTCAATCTTGGTTCTTATCAAGCAGATGGTTCAAATTTCAAATGAGTATTTCAAGCATAAATTTTCAAAACAAACTATTTAATTTGATAGGAAATTAGAAACATTGGATTGCAATGTCCATATGAGATTTTTAAATCCTATTTAAAAGTTAATCCTTTTTGAAATTAAGTGGTGGTGTTCTTCCGTACACAACGAAAAGCTCCCCAAAAACAGCTAGTTATCAAGGCTGGCCTCAACCACTGATCGGATTCAGTTCCAATCACCGTGTGTGGTGGTGTCCAGTCGTCGGCATCAGCAGCAGTGCTTTCGGCACGTGCGTTGGACATTGTTCTCCAGTACACAACGAAAGGCTACCTGCAAGCAGCGAGCTACAGCCCACATGAGCATCCATAGAAGGAGGAAGAAGCCGCACCGCTATTGATCGGAATCACTAGCTCTTCGCGAGTCAACCACGTCACCCTCAATCCAAACAACATACAGCTTACCAGCCTCATCTGTGTACAACATCCTAACCAAGCATACTCAACCATAACGACAAAACGGTAAACGAGTATTTTTTGGGCATTTATAAAGGTCATCAATCGAATGTCAGTTCCCATATCAAGATAGAGCTGGAATTGGGGCGTAACAGCTTTTTTAAACATTGAGTTCTTTCGATGATGTCTTGAAAGTCAAGGCTTGCCCACGCAAATCAACACCACCATCAGGTAGGGTAAGACTTCTCCTATCCAACGGTAATGTTGGTTTGCGTGTTCGTGCCTTGAATTCCTAAAAATCATCTGGAGAAGTCATTGTTTACAAAATCCTAATTCCAGTTCTATCAAGATATGGTTATATCTAACATACGATGTTCTTGAAGGCAACATTGGGGGTGCAATTTCAAAAACCAAAGTCGGTCGCGGCATGAGAGTGGTCTGGTTTCGATCCAGAGATGATGGGTTTTTATTTTTAATACCTCAATCGATAGGATTTTTTTCTACAAATCTGTAAAAATTACGATTTTATTATTTTTCAAAATGTCACTTTTGTTGGTATGATAGTTAAAATTATCACCGATTGCCTGCGAAAAGCTAATTCCCTATCACAGATTTCAAAGTTGGGTCTCATCAAACGGTGTTTATTCAATCACCGCGTAGTGAGTGGTGGTGTTCTCCAGTACACAACGAAATGCTACCTGCAAGCCGTGAGCTGCAGCCCACATGAGCATCCATAGAAGGAGGAAGAAGCCGCACCGCTATTGATCGCAATCAGTAGCTCTTCGTGAGTCGCCGTGGGCCATCTATGTCAAGCGCGTCTCTTTAGTATAAACAAAGAAACCCCCACTCAAATTCCTATTCCTACACAAACCACAAGCTCCTACTGCAGTTAACAAATAATATTTATTATATCAGACCACGTAGTCCTACGTCACCATTGCGTACAACCCCATAGGGCTGTCCCTTGTAGTTTTTGTTTTGCAGTGAAGATACGTCAGTAACTCGGAAAGAATTGAGGATACTGTCTGTTGCGCTGGTAATATGTGCAGAAACAAAATGTGGACAGCTGCATCTTAAAAAATATACATAACATACCTAGCAGTAGCTGAATCCCGTTTAAATCCATTTTGAATCTTCTTAGAAGCACCTTAAGGCATCTGCTGCTTGAAAATGATTGTTTTATTTTTTCACATACGACGTTTCACCAACAATCAATACGAAACTAACGATTTTAAATTGGCTCACTACTTGACTAGCCTATTGGTCCCAAGCAAACGATTAACTTACCCCATTCTAGTTGAAATTCTAGTACCTCTATGGTTTCACTGTTAGCGTATCTGCAAATTCGGACAGTTAAGTCATATTGACAATAAAAGGGTGTATCAAAACCATTTTGAAAACAATCAAAGAAGGGTGCTCATTAAATATATTTTCCATAATTGATTTACGTTTCAAACCTTGGTTTTTCATTAGCTCGTAGGAAAATCATGTATTTTATAATCGGTTAGAAGCAAAACATCGATCTGTTTATTTTTGCGACAGGCGTCCTTTTGACAAGTTATGCTTGATTTGTTGAATTGATAAAATGACAAACGACGAATGACAAAAGGTCAAAGATACAAAATATCGAATGGTCAAAAGGTTGAATGATGAGGAGGTGGTCGAAAGGTCAAATAATGAGAAGAGAGACAAAAGATCGAATGGACAAAAGGACGAATGATACGAAGGGAGACAATAGGTCGAATGATTCAAAGAGAGACAAAAGGCGAACGATTCAAAGAGGGACGAAATAAAATTATCGAATGGATAAAACGTCGAATGACAAAAGGTCTAAAATACAAAATGTCGAATGGACAAAAGAATGAATGGACAAAATGTCGAATGAATTAAAAGAGAAACGAAAGGTCGAATGGTGGTATATTTTTTGTGAAGACTTGGCCAGATGGCAAAGAGTAGAAAGAATACTCGACAGACTTATGATACAGTTGCGTTGAATATTAAATGACAATTTTTTAGTTATATGATAGGCGGCGTCCATAAATTACATAACACGTTAAGAATTGTTACATAGCACAGTGTTTCTTTTTGCCGTTTCCGATCGCCTTTCGAATACCATCTGAAAAAGGTTTACATTTACGTGGAGTTCTTTCGAAATGACTAATGACTAGTCAAGTTGGATGTTCAATTAAGACTGTTGCTTTATTCAAATTATTACTTCACAATAATTTCCTACTGGAGATTCCTGGAGTCACCATGTACACCATGACATGAGGGATGCACATGTTACA